AGAATAGTCAACCCTAATTAAATGTGGTATGCAAATTAAATTAGTATTTAATTAGTTCCTAAAATATTGAGTATGCAATATTAATTTAGGAATATCCATGTAGTTCCTAAAATGTTGGTATGCAATACGTAAAAGAAGATTTTTTTTAATTTTTTTAAATATAAAATATTACAACATGTAAAACTATTCCAGTTATTTTTTTTTATTTTAAATATAAAATATAATCAATATTTAATGCATCTTGCAAAATTGGATTTAGTTTAATTCTCCATACGATTGGTTGTACCTTTTTCAGTTGTATATTTTTATTATTTATTTATTTTTACACTTTTAAATTAATGAAGCTCTCAAAAAATACCAAATCAAATGATTTATGAAAGTTTTTTTTTTTTTACCATTTTAAATCTATATACCCAGCTTAAAAAACTCATCGCATAGATATGGACGAGTTTAAAAAAATTTCATAACCCAGCTTATAAAATTCCATCTCCATGAGTCAAAAAAATCACATCCCTCATCTATCGTAACAACTTTAAAGGTAAATAAATAAAAGTCTAATTACTACTATAAATCCATTATCTATATAGATTTTTTAAAAATCTAAATTTTACCTGTCTAATTACTAATATTTTAGATACTTTTAAATATTATTTGTATAAATTTTTTTACACATTTGCTCTCTCTATATATATACATATATGGAGGTTAAATAAAGAATTTTTAGACATTTATTCCGTACGGGTAGTTTAGAAAAATTTAGGTAGCTTCAAACATTATTTGTGAATAACATAGAATATTTTAGATGCTTTTATAGATGTTATAAAATATTTTAAGTATTTTTAATATTTATATATCACACTTAAAAAGAATATTTGCCAAAAAACATTAAATACACATTGTAAATGTTAATAGAAACACTCTTCAGTGTTCGTCTTTGATTTTGTTAAAACAAATCTCATAAAATCGGTGAAGTCAAAATTTGTACGTAAAGTCTATCTATCCAAAAAAAATGTAGATTCACATTTCTTTATCTAATTTCTTCTTTTCCTTATCTAATTCCTTCTTATTATCTAATTGTATATAAATCTATTCTGATTTTGTTCTATCATCTAATTGTATTTGTATTATATCCCATAAAATCGGTTTAACAAAAAAAATCTCATAACATCCGATAAGTAAAAAAAGTACGTAAAATCTTTACTAAAATAAAAAAGGCTTTATTTATTATCTAATTTATTATCTAATTGTATGAAAATCTGTTCTAATTTTATAGTACGTACTACAAATTGTGCACCCGTGTTCAAGAGCTATTTAACGGGCAAGCTCTGTGGAAATAACTCATTTAGTGCTTCTGTCCCGTGCATACGGTATGTATTTGTATTACACATACTAGAAAATTGCCCCGTGAATCGCACGGACTCTGTACTAATAAATGACCTTAAAATTGTGTGCATCACCTGTGTTCACATTTTGGCCTATTACTAGTCACGTACTATATATATCCCGTATATTTTTTTTTATTCATTTATATAATTATAAGACTTGATAAATGACTTTAATTTTGTGCACGCCGTGCATCGCACGGGATCTGTACTAGTTTCATAATGTGAGCTAACACCAAACCCATTGTGCATTAATTGTACGATTTATTTGGTAAGTTAAACATATACATACTATTTCATAATGTGAGCTAACACCAAACCTATTGTGCAGTAATTGTATGATTTATTTGGTAAGTTAAACAAATCGCAACGTATATGAATGGAGTTGAATTGATTTTCTCGACGAGAAGAATTTAGTGGTAGGTCAAACACCTGAAACGAACGCCAGACGGCACAAAAAGTAGGTCGGACATGAAACAAAATTTTTTATTCTGCCGTTTGTGATTAGTGTACATTTTTTGATATTTTTAATAAAATATCTATTTATATAACATATCAGTATAGCGATAAAAAAAATTAAATTTTGCCCTCATACAAGCTAATATCCATTTTATATATAATTTCTGAATGTGTTGAGCCTAAGTGGCATGCTCGCATGCTTCGGGATCCAATGTGACAAAATTTCATGCTTCATTACTTAGGATTTCATAAATTTTAATTTACTTCCAATTCAAAAATAATTATGTTCAGATTATTCATAAATATGTTGATTATTTATGATCATTTTATATGTATTAATTGCATTTCAATACCATTTTCTATTATAACCATTGAATTGTAATTGTATTATAAAAGTTAATAACTTTTTAATTTTTATCAGTTTTATATATATAATATATCAAATTAATCATCTCTTGATAAGTTTCGATTTGACATAT